GACCCTCAGATTGTGAGTCGAGCGCCTTATCCACCTGGCCATGCCGGGCCCTTGAACAACGAACATATCTTTTACTGTAAAACAATAGAATGAAAAAGAGTGTGGCACAAATAGTTGAAAAAGTTGTATTATATTAATTAATAAATATATATTTTCTTAGTAATTCGTTTGTTTCTTTTAACGTCAATCTACTCAATAGGCTATCTGCGCTCTATCCATTACAGGGAATCGAACCGCGAATTTTTAACATTGTAGGTCCATAAACTTAAAGCTGTAACACTGGGGGACTTTGCTTAGTGTAAAATCGACGAACTATAGTAAAATGTTTTAATGCATGATGGCTTAAGAATGACTTTCTATGTTTCAACTTTAATATTCATCGTATCGTAAATGATTTCAATATAATATTAAATGTTTTTTGTTTTATTTTTTGTTCTCTGTTTTAATGGATTAGAGAGCCATTAATTAAAATAAAGGCCAGTACTAGGCCACAACGTCCGTGTCTTTGTAGCAGCAACAAGACCATATAATTGCTTTTTCTGTTATGCCGCATTCCCTAACATTGTGTAGCGTTTGTCAGTGGGATAATTTAATTTTCAAACGATCGTTTAGCTGGCTTCAATACACTGGCAGCCTGCCTTTGAAATTAGCGTTATCAAAGTGAAGTAAGAGTATTAATCAATAGATTCAAGTTACCGAGTGTAATGAGTAGCGATGCGCTAGCGACATCTGTTAATATTTGCATATTATCAAAGCTGTAACCAATCGTTCAAATTTGTGGGGCAAATATATTAAAAAAAATTTATTGGTTAAAAAATTAATACCTATCGGAAATAACAGTGGATCAGGCAAAGAAATCTGAAAATATATACCGTACCCTATAAATTTCTTAATATGGCGTTAGCCAGAATCACGTGACCAAATCGCCTAATCAGCAAGTTAAAATGGTTAACGGACAGCTTTAAACCTCAGTGTTACAAAAATCAAAATAAGCAAATAATAAAAAATAACGACTACAAATTTACAAATGCTTTTATTAATACATTTGAATTAGTTTTATGGGTTTTCTTTTATTATTGATTCTTTAAAGCTTTACTTATTTATTATTTATAGAAATAATTCGGTTATTATTATTATTATTATTCGGTTATTGTTCACAATAATTTTTCAACTTATTTACATGAAGCACATAATTAAGGCTGTATTTATAATAATATTTTAATATGGCTCCAATTTTTACTTAATAATACATATTTTAATGTTTGTGAATAATTGCAATTGTTTTAGAGCAAAGGCACATTGGGCAACCCGTTGTGTCCACCGCGAGGAATCGAACCTCAGACTTTAGCGTTTTAAGTCCGTAAACTTACTACTGTTGGGTTACGTGACAATTGTTTAAGTTTATTCCAAGCTGGCGAAGCATGACTATAAATAATTATACTTGTCACAAGATATTAGTATTAGGCCTATTAAATTTTTGTCTAGTCCCTTAAGAGAGCACCCACTGTCCCAGAGTTGTGGAAACTGGTCACGAACCAAGGATAATTTAATTAGATTAAAATTGACAGTTTATTATGTTCACCTTATCTATGATGGTATTGTGGGCTTGATATAAAAAGTATTTTTAACCTCCGCTACCAGGTCATATAATATCGTTTAAGCAACAAAAACTTTAAAACACTGTTGCACTACGCATTCTTGGTATTATCATTCTTATTTCGAAAGCACGAGAAAAAAAAGGGGGGGTAGATTTTTCAGTGATTGAACGAGACACGAAGCATCGCCAAACACTAGCACAGAACATCCGCTCACGATGCTCGTTTAATAGAAAAATTAAAACTTGTCTGATTGAGACGTAGTTTGTTTGTTCGTTTCAAATATTCACACAATGACAGCAATTTGTGATAGAAGTCACTAATTTTGAACTGATAAACTAGAAGGAAGGTCAACAGCAACCACCTTCTACTACAATACAAGTAAGACGTGACCGTCAGTTTTCTAACGTACCTACAGTCATAAAATGAATTATGGACCCTCGGATTCGCAGTCCGGCCCGATGACTACTTAAATACTAGAGTAACTAGACCATGCTTAGTTTGGTAGTGAAAGAACCCCAACATTCGTGACAACTCAGCACCGTATGTGATGAGCGCGTCATCTGTTGGTACAAAATACTAATACCTTAAACTTCAATAAAAATACTGAAGTTGGGCTAAATTCCTAATGTGGATAACAGTTTTATCTTCATCATATGTAATAAAGTTTTACTAACTTTTTATGAAGCAATTAATTTTATTTCAAGAGTACATCACAATCGTGAAATACACAAGTGCAAATATTACATCTTACACAAAATAACAAAACTAATAACTGACTCACAAACTTCCTATACTTTTTTCTGACATGAATTATAATTCTAAATACTTTTTAAATTACAAGAAAAGTGACGAAACACATAAATTTAAATCAATGTCTTATTCGTAACTCTCACAAACATAAATAACCTTTTCATGAAAAAATAGACAAATTCTTCAAAAATATGTCGTATTAGTTTTTGTAATAATTATATTGTGATATTAATAATAATTACTTAAATTCAAACAAATGTATTACTAATCCTGTGATACAGAGTAGTTAATTAAATAAAGTAATCTATTAAGAGAAAATAATCATCTCTGAGGTGACATAATTTCCCAGGAACAGTAGAATATATAGAACAAAGTCACTGGTAACATCCACCCCCCTAATTCTCGCCCTTACGAAAATTAACAGCTTCAAACCACAAAAGACTGTTTTCATACATTGATGGTCATCCAAAATGTATTATGACAAATAGCGTATCAAGCATCAATTATTGCGCACTATTTATTATTAATTCAAGTATTAGACCTTACACTCCGTCTTAACGATGAATACTACGTAACAATTACAAAGTTTTAAAATTATCATTAGACAATACCAAAACGTCTATCACTTAAAGTCAAAACTTGCAATGCTGTTCCTTCCAATCGAAGTTTTACGATTCATTTGTCCAATACATACCTAAACATGTACTTTAAATCGTTCAAAAAGACTTCTTTTACATATAATTTTTCACTACGTTCTGCTTTCACCCACTTTATAATTTTTTTTTCTTAACTTTGATTTCGTTTCAAGAAAAAAATGTGAACAAACGTAACTTCCGTTAATTACCCATTTTGTAGTATAAGTGACCACCAGAGAGTGCCACTATCGACCCGACTTACTCGGAATATATTCTTGAACTGACTTTATATACATACATTGAAAACCTTAAAGAAATTGGTGAAATCTATTCTTCTACAGGTAAAACAAAAGCTAGAATTAAATGGCAAATAATTCGATAAAACTACGAAACTATAAGCCTTCATACTCAACACATTCGTAATACACTGAACATCTAAAACCACACATATTTGACAAAAAAAAAAGCTCAGCAAATATGTAAATGAACAACAGCTTTTTAGGTTTTACTTAGAACGTCTCAGATCTATAAGCGAACAACATCGGTTATTATATATTAGAATTCACGAAACAAATCACACTTTTAATACAGAACACAATAGAACAATTATTCTTAAAAGTCATTACACGTGTAGGCGGTGTGACAAACTTTAAGAAAACCAGGTGTCGTCTTATCTGAAAGTGCAATCTACCACCATATGTAAAAACTCTTCATACTGCAAGTTTACCACGCCTGCCTGATTAGTGTCTTTGGCTCGAAATTGGTCGGAAAGAGATTTCAGCATGACACAAATCTTGATGAAATCATCGAAGTGTATTATTCTTCCGCCATTACGGTTTAACTTGGATACCACCAGGTTCGAAAAATTCATTGAAAGTCTGAAATAAAAAGAAAATATGAAAGTTACACTGGTTTTATTTAAAATGTATTATGATAAATATACTCATTCACTCATCGGTACTCTGCTTTAAGCGGGGTTGAGACTCAAATAATAAAATGCTAATAAAAATGTTATTGTCAGTCACACATTCTTCTCCACTTTTTCTTATCTTTCGGCTTCCTCTTTAAATCAACATGTGTTCTTCCTTCTTTCTGCTCGTCCAGCAGCAACATCCTCTTCCTTCCATGCAATCACTTTCCTTCGATTTTTCCTTTTAAGTCTTCTTTCATCAAGCCTTCCCCTACATATCCAGTCCATTTTTTCCAACAAACCTTGCAACATCTCCAATACTTTTCCATTCTTCTTCTTTGTCCAAATGATTTTTTTTCGCCAAACCCACGTTTCAAACTTTTTAATCTTTTAAGTAAATGTACAACTATTTCAAAACTGTAGTCAACATTAGCTTTTGTTTAAATTATCAGACTATGTTTTGTTTTTAAGGGAGAACAAACTCACAATACAAAACTTTTGATCTTTTACCTGATCTTTGACGTTTCTCACCCTCACGGTAAACGAAAATCAGTAAAAATTCAAAATATCGTTCTACTATATTAAAAGTAATCAAAATATACTGTTTATCTTCGTTTTTCTTCTTCAGAGAAGAAAATTCTATCTTAAGCTACTATATAGAAAACGTGATGCTGAGTCTTTCCTAGTATAAACCAGAGAATGCTCAAAATTCCTAAGTGGCTTCTTCATGATTTAGAAATAGAGAAAAAGTGGTATTAAAAAAATAGTTTTGAAATATTTCATGCCTGTATTAATTATACCCGTCACATCACTATTTTGTTTGTATATTTACCTCAGATGGTAATAGAAAGATGGGTTGGGTGTAAATATATATCCAAAAGATGGCAGCACTTACATTAAATGTTTGGTTTGTTTACTGGAGACATAAAGCTACACAATGGACTATCACTGTAGTGCCGAATATGGAAACCCGGTTTTTTTAGTTATAAGCCTTCAAAATTAATGCTGAGCCTCTAAGTAGCCTTAAAACAAAGAAAATATTAGCAGATAACTAATTAATAACGGAAGCTCCAAAAGTACAGAGTAATCAAACAGAACCATGGTATTTTTTGCTTGAAGCTAGACAGTCAAGTCAAACATGTTTCACCTGGCCTATAACTTATAAGGCTAATTCTATGTTAAGTACTCACAAAAACGAAACTTTAATGAAAATTTAACTCTTTTCATTCCTGGTTTTGATAATTTTACTACATGTTTAATACGCACCGTCCATACATGGGAATTTATCTTTATTAAAGAATAGCTAGCTTGGCAAGATCTGGTAAACTTTTTTTTTCAATGTAACTATGACACAGAACATGCAAGACATGTCAAATCAAAAGAATTAATAAATAGATGTACAAAAGAAACAGAGAGAAGCGATGAACAGCATAAAACTGACTTTGAACAAAACATCAAATACTGTAAATCCACATCAGAAGACGTTTTACTGAGATGTATATATTAAAATTTTAAACGCTATAAATCTAGAATATGTACAAACATTACTGTACAACAATTAGCAACATTATACTCTAAAACATAATTTAGAAAATCCTCAGCTATGCTGTTAAAAACGTACAGTAGCAACTTACTATTATTCGACGTTAAAGCAGTACAGTAGGAAGTTACTACTAATCATTATCACATTAACTACATGCTGTTAGCACACTACAATAGGAAGTTACTAAATATACTACTCATTATCCCCATTAACTAATGCTGTTAAAAACGTACAGTAGGAAGTTACTACTAATCATTATCACAATAACTACATGCTGTTAACACACTACAATAGGAAGTTACTACATGTACTACTCGGTATCCCCATTAACTAATGCTGTTAAAGCAGTATAGTATGAAGTTACTACTAATCATTATCACATTAACTACATGCTGTTAACACACTACAATAGGAAGTTACTACATGTACTACTCGGTATCCCCATTAACTAATGCTATTAAAGCAGTACAGTAGGAAGCTACTAGTACTCGTTATTCCCAACAATTAAACTTTATTGAGAAGAAATGTTGGTGAACTTCAAATGATTAGTTAAGAAAATCATATTGGAGGGATATACAGAAAGAATGGTTTATTGGATTGTATGGTGACTGGATGGGACAAAAAGTTGTTATTAATGAAGTCCAGTTAAACTGATCCTTTGTTATCAGTAGAGTATCTCAGAGGTCAGTTCTTGAGCCTTTGCTATTTCTTACTTACATTAATTATATTGATAGGAACATAATTAGCAAATTAGGAAAGTTTTCCAATGACATTTAACTCTTGCGTATTTTTAGCTGTATTGAAGATCTTGAGCAGGGTGGATTTAGGATTTTCGAAGAAGGTAGAGTTCCAAACCAATAGATATTGGAAAGTCATTCAAACAGAAGAGTCTGACAAAGGAGTTTTTCTCTTCTCTCTTGGAAGCTGAAGACTTTTTGAAATCTGTATGTCAAATTTTTTATCACACTTTCCATTTGTTTTTTTTTTAATCACTCTCATCTGCATGTTAGGAATAAGAAATCTGAATGATCAATACATTCTGCTACCATCAACAAACCCAAAGAACAAAGCTATCTAATCATCTAGTTATACAGATCAGAATTATGAAGCACAACTATAAGGATATAAACCTACTTAGAAGGGTTATGTTCATATATAAAAAAAATAGTCAGTTACACGATGCTGACGTGCAATATGCTTATAGATCTACAACTTACTTATTCACTGTCATAAAATACAAAGATACAAACATATTTGGACAACATAAGATTGAAAAATTTACAATATTAATATTTTTACATAATCTTGCCCTATTGTGAATTAAAAATTAACTATGAAACAGAAAATTTCTTACTCTAACAGCAGACATAGAGCAAGGACAAATGGGCTTAACACTTTCTGTACTCCCTCGCTTGAAGTGGATTTTGAGATAGAGAAGTATTCCCTGTGAGGTATCAATGTCCATTAATTAAAAGGGCTCTTTCAAAGAGTTGTTGTGGGTTTTAAATCAATCATAATATTTTGGAAAAAAAAAAGATCCTTTATGGTATCTTCAATTTTTTACACATTACAGACAGTTCAGACCCCTTTCCATAGAACAATATGAGCATGAATAATCTTTCTACAACTTGCATATTTAATTTTCTCTTTATTTTCTTTAATTTTTTACTTCTCCTTTGATATTTTATTTTTGTGCTGGAAAGGAGGGATTGTGAAGACCTCCTGGACATGATAATTTTAAGTTACTACAGAACAATTTGGATTAATTGGTAAGTTAGACAGATATTTGTTAAATGACCTTTAATTATAGTAAATGCAAAGTAATGCAACTGGGTTATCATAATTTGGATCATATGTTAAATAAAGATTGGAACCAACTCAATATCGTGACTGAAGAAAAGGATTTTGGCATAATGATAGATATAAAGGAGTGCTCTGTTGCTAGCAGTAAAGCTAATAAAATATTAAGATGTATTTATAAACATATTTATTATAAGTGAAAATAAGCAATTATCTCTCAATACAAATCAAGTTATGCCTCACCTGGAATACTGTGTACAGTTTTGGTCTCCTTACTTAAGAAAGGATAATTGACTTATTGGATATGGGTTAAAAGGAGGGCTACTAAGAGTGTTTCATGGATGAAAGGGATATTTTACAGGGATAGATTAACATTTCTTAACTTATTTGTTCTTCGGAAAAGAAGGATAAATGATGATTTTATTGAAATTAAAAAATTTTTCTTTTGGATTGATAAAATAAAGATTCTGCTTTTTTTTTGTACTATATTATGAAGATAAAAGGATGAGAGAACACAAGCTTAAGGTTTGTAGAAGACACAGTAGGCTCCAGTTAAGATAGCTTTATTCCTCTAACAACTAAAGTGATTGACTTATGAAATATGGGTTGTCACTGGCAGTAATACTAGTAGAGGCCAGCACTTTATATGAGTTTAATAAGAGAATCAATGATTTCCTAAAGGCAAAAAATGGGTTTAAATTTTAACTTTTCCCAAGAGTGGGTGTGCAAAAATAGCTCAGAAGGACCAAAATGGTCCCTTTTTTTCATTTGTGTTAGGATAGTTAGTTATTAAAGTTTCATGATCTCATGTTCCATGAGGGGGTTATTATTGTGGTATTTACATTTTTTAGCAATATATTTCCTAGCCACAGGTTTCAACCTCAGGCTTGTCATGAACCAGGTTAGAACTATACCAGCTGATCTAATGGGCTAGCATTCTAGTGATTGCTAGCAAGGCTACTTTTAACAACTCAAACTACTACATTGTTCTCTTGCCACAATAAGGGTCATCCTCTGGCCAAACATCAGGGCACCAATATGGTACTTTCATTATTCGTGATATATTTCTTTGCCTTGGATTTGAACTTGAGACGTATCACATGCCAGACAAGTGCTCTACCGAGTGAGCTAGTAAGGCACTTTTTAATAACTCAAGTTACAATACTGTTATTATTTATCCTCATGGCTAAATACTACTTAAAGTAAGAACTTGCCACAACTGATTATCCATGTGACTAAAATGCTAGTGAAACAATGCAACAGAGGACAGTTTATCCTAAGGTGTTAATATAACAAGATAATATTAACTAATGAACAACTATATGGCTAACTGCCTTATAATAAATAGTGCAATGTTTGTGTGAGGCAACAAACAAGTCTACTTCTCCTACAAAGTAATTATGAGAACTCACCTGTAGCCAAATGTAGTAAGTGCTTCGTGAAACTCCAGTGCATCTATACTCCCTGATCTATTTCTGTCAAATCTCTCAAAGCACTGTTTCCATTGCTGAATACAGTTCCATAATGACACAAATTCATGGATATCGATAGTATTAGTACGATCTCGATCAAACATTCCTACCATCAGGCGACAGGTTTCCTAAAAAAAACAGATACTGATATTTGCAATATCTAATATATTCTAATCATGTTTTTATCTATTTATTTTGATTTATAAAAAAAAAACTCTTCCCCTGTATCAGAAACCTTACTGCTTATGGCAACTAGAGTAAATGAATAAAAAAATTCACAAAAGCATACATTAAATATCATAAAGAGAAATCAACCGTTTTAACTGAATGTGCACAGAATCAGTCCATTGGACCAACCTCACACTGGAGAAGGAATGTGGACTGTAATTCCAAATTTACAGGGTGTGAAATATGGCAAGCTTTTAATGAAATGTATGAATCTGTTGTACACAAAAAATCAGAAATGTTATAAAGGTATATATATATACTAATGATATGACTGTGAATTGAAGACATCAGTCTGACTCAGAGAAGTCAGAATGTATGTGATGTTCATGTGAAGAATTAAGATACTTTTGTCCATCATACAACTTGCATAAGCTCTAGAGCGTATAAAATGCACATCTGCAGTTTTTATCATTATCCATATTTATTGTATCTGGTATTTACTCTCATCTACCACGAACTGTCACTAAATTGGCAATATAAGGCAAAATGAATAGGTAATAACTCTGACATCAAATGCATAATGCCATGTTGAATGGCACTATGTAAAAGATTATGGCATGTATACTTTGACCCCTTTCTGTGCATACAAAGTTAACACCTTAACCATCAGTATAAATTAAAAATTGTATCGTAGACAACCTATTTCAACACCTGAACTGTCTGTAAAAGATAAAAACTGAATTTTAAATAATCTGTTTCAGCATCTTACAGTATTTTAGGTAGTTATCCAGAAAAACTGGAATCAGCATTAATAACTTTATCTCTCTAAAAGTATTCAATATCTTATTGTAATGTAAACTTTATCCAGAATACACTGACTCGTGATCTTTCTAACTGACAAACTGTACCTGGACAACCTGATTCAACATTTGCTGTCTGGTAAACTGTATTACGTACAACCTGATTCAACATTTACTATCTGGCAAACTGTATTACAGCCAATCTGATTCAAAATATTACTACATGCTTTGTAATGTATTGAGTATATAATAACTTGTAAGCTATTTTTTAATGAATCTTATAAAGTATTAAAAAGATATTAATGAGATGAGTAATGTTTTACAATTTTAAAACAAAGTGCTGCTTTACAAAAGCATATAGCAATATAATATGTATGTAAAATAAATTTTTGTTTGTCTAAAAACTATCTTACATAGTGAAAACATGAGTAAAGATCAAAGTCATGGATGTGTTTATAAAAATTGTACTTAAACAGAATGACTTTTCATTAATAGTTATTAAAACTTGGCTTGGCATACCCGTTGATAACTAAATCCAGTCATAGTTTTTGTTAGATGAATGTACAAACAAGGACTGCTACAACTTAGAGGTAGAGTTGCATCACTTGTAGGTAATTATAGGTGGGATGGTAAAACACAATACTTTAATTAACTTTGAGTATATTCTGTTGTTTTTGCTGGGCACAATTGCATTAAGTATTCCTTGGAAGTTTGTTAATAACTTGGAGAAGGACAATACAACAATAATGTATATCTTGCACTTGTGCCAGTGAATGATACTTGTTCATGTTAGTTTCATGTATATATTGAAATTACTTTATACATACTAGCTTTCCATATGGGTACCACTATTTTATATGAATTGGTGTTCAGATCAAAAGTTAATACACCAGTCTAAATTTTATATACACTACCTAAGTATGTTCTGTAACCTTACTATATTGCATTACTTTGTTTAAGAGGTATTATATGTTACAATTTAATGAACTAGTGTTTTCATGTCATAATATACACTTAAATTAGATGTGCCTTTTGCAAATACTTGAATGCTTATAAGAGTCTTAGACTATTCTTGTACTGGTAAACTGTGTGGAGCTTAGTAGTAAACAATTACCTGATATTTATGTGTTTTGTAAGTAATAAAAATCTTATTTGTTAATATATTTAAAGTAATTCTTAAATTAAAGTAATACTTATGAAGATCATTTTGAATTACTAGTTTACTACATGGACTTAGAACTAACATAAATCTTTTAAGCTGGTCAAATCTCTTGATATATGATTCGGATTATGGCCAAAAATATTACTAATAGTCAATAGTACCCAAATGATCATTTAACCCATTCTTATCATTATATGTTTCTGTTTTTGGTGTATGTATTTATTTATGACATCTAATATTTCTAAACAATTAGGTATAGAGGATTTTTTCACCAACTTATAATTTAGTTTACTAATTTAATTTATATCTATTATATTAGTTTGCTTCAATTAGTATTTTTAAATAATTCCCTGAATAAAGTTGTGTAATACCAGTAATAAGTTAACTAATGCAAATATTAGTTATCCACACCCTGAAAGCTTGTACTGCCCTTGGAACTACTTCCTCCATTATCGATCATGATCAATCTGATGGCCATGATTATGCACTGTTCTCTGACATTAAACTTTCCAATGTAACAATACTTTTGTAAAGGATGATTAAACCAATCCTAAACCATAGGTCTTTAACCATGGATTTTCCAATTTCATGTATGTATTGCAATCAAACCACATCATATGCATAGTTCCCACAGTATCAACAAGTAAAGCTGACAGCTTCCAAAACAAGAAAGTTGGATATACTAGATCAAGGGCACGACTTTATACAGTTACACTTAAGGTCTAAAGTCATTTCCTGGGTTTTGAAATATTATTCAGGGTGACTGAAAATTATATAACAATTAGAGGAACTAACTGTTAAATTTCAAGTGTATTTTTCTGCAGTATTAGTTCCTAGTCAACATAACCTAACAACTTTAGTTGACAACACATTCCTGACAGCCAACAGTATCCTTAACACTAAGTCAATAACAAAGTATAATGTGTGCATAAAGATGGTTGAATTTCTTAACCACCTAACTTAAATGGCTTTTAGGGAAGTGGAAATGATGTAACAGAACAGGATACAAAACAATCTCTTCACAGGACTTGAATCCTGATCAAATTTCATGAAAAGCATTCTCTCATCTAAGACCTTCTGCAAATTAGGTGTGTAAGTTATAACAAATAAACAAACACAGTAATATGTTTAATTAGAATTTGATCCAATGACCTCTGACTGGTTCATCTGGTGGTCTTTTAATTTCTCTCTTGCAGATCAAGGGAAACATGGATTACCCTTCTTTTCATGTTTCAAGTTTTCTTAACTTTAAAACTGGAAGAATACTGCCTTACTTAAAAAGGCAAAGATGGATTAGCGATATCATTTTAGATTTAAAAACTAAGTATGAAAACTTATTTAAATGTTTTACTCATATGTTTAGAATAATGAACAACTAAGGTTTAGGCATTAGACAGACTATCTTTGTAAAGTTTTTATTTTTAAACAGTAGGTTGGCTGTAAAGCAATTAATATTACCAAAAATACATTAAGCCTAAACTGAAAACAAAAACCTTCTTAAAATTAACCACAGGTAAATCCAACCTCCAAAAATACAAAGTTACTTGCAAGCTTTCAGTTCTTATTGTGAACCACTTTTATATGAAAGGAAAGAAAGATGAAAACAAACAAATCCAGACATTTGTATTACAATTGTAGTAATCATACACAGCTAAGTTTTATCAGACTTTTTGTAATTCTAAGTTATTGTTCATTTTGATCATTTTAAAAAGTCTGCAGTTAAAATTGATGTTGCAAGATGTTGTAACATGATATGTAGTGCTGGATGTATTCTTATTATTGGAAATTAAGTGTTTTTAAATGTGTGGAGAGATATTTAATGGTGAATCCCACATATTTCATGTTGAAATATGGACAAATAATAAATAAAAAAACAATAAATGGTGACATTTTGGTGTATGACCATTAAATAAAAAAAAATGTTTGGCTCTAGTAACTGGTTTAAAAATGCAGTTTAATTACAATTATGTATACATATGTCTAAATAACTTCATTTTAAATGTAATTATATGCTCTTCTATATATGGTAACAATAGGATAATCAACTTTTTAGAAACATCAATTTGTGGAATGTGAGAATGGTAGCTTTGTTATGTTCATCTTGTTTACATTTATCAATAATAAAACTGCAAAATTCATTTTTTTTAGAATTATCTAATCCTTTCTACTTTATGCAACAGCTTATAACTACTAGTAATCATATTAAAACAACCAAGTTAGAATAAAGGGTCAGCATATAAAGATGATATTAAAAAACAGATCTTAAAATTATATAAAAGGGCAACTCATATAAAGGTGTAATGTAAAGGTGTGTAAATTAAACAAGAAGAAACTGGAGAACAGTTGGAACAATCGGTAATATGAATATGAAAAGGGAAAAAAGTTTTCCAAATTTGTTCTTGTTTCAACAAGCAATATTACTTACTTCTCTTACTCGCAGGTATTAGGAAGATGTAAAGTTTACACTTCATGAAACAATAATTTATAAATATAGATATTTTATATATGGAAACCAATGGTTTGTGTCTATCTACTGCACTAATTTTTGTCAATGTTTAAAATGTTAAATGCTTTTCATACAAAATAGTCAGTTTTTTTTTAGATATATTTTTTACTTAGTAAAACTATTTTCTGAAATAAATAAGCTTTATTTTTTATCTTGATGAAAACCTGAGCACTATGTTAGTCCATTTAGCTTAAGCATTCTGACATGCAGTGTCTTAGACCACATGTTCTTTCCTCACTTCAGATTTTCCGTGTATCCTTAGACCCTTAAGTCATCAATTTTAACATGGTGGCTGTGGAGAGCAATTCATCATCATCAAAAATTATCAAAAAATATTAATATATACACTACAGTTATAAACAATCTCCAGGTCAGATAAATACCTACCAGTGAAATTGGTTTCCTACTGGCCTGTATCTATTTACTATATGTAATGCCACTTCAAGAAGAACAACAATGATTTTAACACTTTTTGACTTCATATTTCTCTTAATTTAAATCATATACAAAGCTGCTATTTTTAATATGATGTAAGAGTGTTTAGACCTGTTCAGAAACATAAAAATAGTGTTCATTCCAGTTTTTGGAACAGTTATGGCAATATTCCAGATTTCGTTAAAAGTTTGACACTGTATATAGTCACAGTAGTGTTGCTCTCCATTCCAACTTGTCTAGAGTCATTACAATGCCTCTACATATGTCTGATTTATAATATTCTTAATTAATTCCAATGAAATTCTTTGAGTACCAAACTGTTATAATGTGTATGTATAAAAGCATGTAAAAAATCTAATGTTAAAACATTTATCACTGTTATACTTGATTCAAATTTCTGTTCCACTTTGAATTTAACATGTTTACAATTAAAGTAACAGCTGGAACAAAGAAATGTGACTTTTTTTAGTTAATGATGACAGACATATTTCCCAGTAGTTTAATTTAAAGTGTCAGGATGGTCATCCAACCAATATTTTTCATGAAAGTGCAAGAAAGAATAATCATGCTCTCCACCAACCTGATCATAGATGCCATCACAGCTACTAAAATATGATGCTTCTGTAGTGAAGGCATTGATGTGCAAAAGAACTGAATCTCTACAAAAGTCACAAGCTTTCAAAACAACTTACCAAATAATCAAATTAAATGGATAGTGTAGATTATCTGGTTTATACAAATAATAAAAATCATCACAATCATTACAATATATGCAACAAATAGTTTCCTAACCTCATTAAATGGTGACCAGTCACCATTTAAAAGGGCTCGTTGGAGTTCTAAAGAAGAGATATGACCACTTCTATCTTGGTCTACAGCATTAAACCATTCCCACAAGTCAGGTGGAACACCAGGGGGTCCTGATGAAGGTGTACCCCATGCTGCTTTTGATGAATGCATATTTAAAGATTACACAATATGAAATATACCTCACAAGTTTGCTGTATTTCAAATATAAGATATATTAAAACTAAATAAAAACAATAATATTTAGAAAATGTCTTCAAATACTATTGTGACAAACTTGGTACTTCTTTTTACATAAAATATAAAAGTTCAATTACAAAAAACAATTAAATTTTAAAAGGTAATTAGGAAATGATTACTACATATAAGCAGTGCTTTTTTTCTGGCAGAACTATCCAGAATGGGGTACCAGTACTTTTTAATGAATGAGCAGCAAAAATAAATAAGACATTACACAAAAATTGCTTCTTCAGATACGATCAAATGCTTTTATTTCTATAATTTATTGTACATATAATACTCGTATAATCAAATGTGTTACTACCAACTAGCAGTAAGATCAAGTATTCAATTAGGATGGTCATAGGCTGGGGTGGAGTAACAACTGGAAAAGGTTGTAGAAAGTATAGGAGAGTTCAACGGATATAAAACATGGTATTCTTTCGTGAAACCTACTCCAAGTTGAAGTTGAAAGAATTTTGATAGAGAATGAGAATCAATGTGTAATTGAACCGTATCAGATGACTAATGCCCACAAGTTTAGCTGAAACTTTCTAATCCAAAAAACTAACATATACTAGCAACTTAAAAATTATTTTTAGTGACTTGTTTAGTTTTTCTCTATTTTAGTTATAGTGTCATTTTTGTAAAAAATACAAAACTATAAAGAATACATGTCTGACATATTATGGCAAAAATTGTAACCTGCAAGATAAAGGTACAGCCTAAGCATCCATTCCTTTCAATAACATCCTCTTATTCCTAAATTTGGTTCACAAAATTTTGAACAAATGAGATTATTACATAGAGCACTTCACCTGATAAGCTATTTCAGAAATCCATAAATTAAGAGAGAAATAATTTATATTATGGGACATGAATAATGAATGACAAAAACACCAAAAAATATTATTGAAATAGTCCATGACATGTGGTCTCCCCGATCAGAAATATGGCCATTTATAAGATTATAACTAATCACTTGTTTCAGCAAATTCCCAATTTGCCAAATTGGTAATTACAGAAACAATTCTGAACAGTATTGTAAATAAAAGCATAAGAAAAGAAGAAAGCTTTATTTATGTAGTTCTGAAAATGCCAGTTTCCCCATTTATATATATTTAAAACAAAACAAAAAGAAACATTATTGTATTTTTCAAAAAGTGAGGGTATTTATCTTACATTTTAGATACCAGACACATTTATATAATTTAAAATTCTGCTGTGTATCTCCTACTAGTAAAGAACTTTTGTGAAATATTCAAAAGAGCAAAACATACCTGTGCCCTGTTGAGCTGGATATCCACCATATCCCCACGACATTAGTTTTTCAGTTCCTAGATTTTACCAGTTCACTCACAAAAATTCCAAAGTTCAATTACTATAAGGAAAAGGTTAACTTGGGTTTAAAATTAAAAATCAAATATGCTAAAGAAATTGTTCTTTAATACTGTCACGTTTTATAGACTGTTGAAAAAAAACTTCCTATAAAGGAATAATTATGAAGTCTCGGCTGAATTTGCCAGTTATTAAGTTGCTTTTTTAATTTTTATTCCAAAGGTTTAAAACTTAAAAACGATGAAAACTATATTCCCAAACATGCATATGTAAAAAAAATAAAAATAAAGTGTAAGTTCTTATTAAATTTTATTTCTTGGCAGTTTCCTTTATTCAAGAACAAATTACTGTACTAACCACACATAAGTTGACTTAGAAGTTAGATACATGTACATTGTTGATACAATACAAACCTCGAGTAACATACGTGGTTTATATCCCTTGAAAGTTAAATTTCACGTTCACGTCTGCCCGAGGTATATACTTTCCAACAAAGTGTAACTAAACATACGGTATAAAATACCTCACTAAATCTTTACATTTTAAGAAATAGGCCCTAGGGCTTACCATTGTTTTATTTTATTATCAATATTTTTTTTTATGTTTCAACTCTTTCACCACTTACTAATTATCGACACATCATCCTTACACGGATACCTTATCAAAGTGACGTAGGCGCAAGAATGAAAACAAAACGATCAGCTAATATATTATAAAATAGGTAAAAAACTATTACTCGATAATAATTTCTCAAATATTCTTTCACATTAACTAATATTTTATATAAAAATGTGACCCACCAGTTTTATCTATTTTCTACTTTTCTTGAGTAGTAGGTTCGAATCTTGTTTTGAATGGAATCAGGTTTTCTTAACAACTAAAGGGCTCTCTGATGTCACTGTTCGTATACAACCAATGAAGTTTCCGGGAATATTTGTGCATGTAGCATTTCTTAAAGGTCGTGAACTCTAACCTTTTCTTTGCAAACATATAGTTTTTGGTAACTGTTTTTGAGATTGGTGATAGACAGGTAAGGAAACAAACTTTTTTTACGTATATATACTGTTGGATAAATTATATTCCCACTAATTTCTTTGTAATCAAGTAAGTTCCATAAGGTCAAACGCGAGCGCGTGTTGTGACCGCAATGCCGGTCGCAGGGAAGGTGTGCGGGGAACACAGGGCTGCAATCAGGTCAGTACAGCCCTGTCCTCCGGAGCCAGGCAGCTAACATGGTTGATGTTGTTTCGAAGATGGTGGCGAGAGATGGAAAATAAAATAACTTCAAAGATTTATACTTGGCACATACTTCCTATATATCAGCATGTGGCGAGATGGCCAAAAGAAAGAATGTTATTGTCACGTGTGTTGTTGTGGTGGAGCTAGTGGCGCGAAGAATAAGTTGCCGATTTGTATTTTAGGCAAGACATTGGAGAGTTAAAATCACTGTTCCTCATTCTTCTACTTCTAGCACTCGATTTTTTGGTGGGGATTGTAAGAAACTGGAATTTTAGGCCTAATTACATGAGTGTTTATTAAATATAAAAATCTATACAAGTTTTTATTTTTAAATAAATTGTACGCTGTACTGCATTCTTCCTTGTCTCATGAAACTACAGTATAAATGCGTAGTATTTCTATTAAATATAAGCAATATATCTTGCACTACAGTTACATCGTAGTAAGTGTATTTGGTTTTTAATTAGTTAATTTTGAAACATTAATATGATATTAGTCTTAGTAAGTAGTATTGCTAGTCAAGTACTAGTACTACTAGTTTGATAATACTGTGTGTGTATATGTCGTGTGTAAACATTTAAGGTATAATTCGGTTGTGAAAGGACGTTATCTATTTTAAAAGTTTAGTTAATCGTTTCCAAGAGTTTTTATTGTGTAATTAGTTTCGCCTTTATTATTTAATCAAAGTATGGTAGTTCTTTTCAATCCTTAAGATCTTAAATGTCAAAGTTATTTCCACGTTTAACCATCCGTTGCACTTTTAGGCCTATAACTCGTACATTAACTTGTGCCACCTATGACTATTTATTAATTGTCATCTTATAATCAGAATTGCGTAGTTATTTAACTAATTGGTTTAGTTTGTTTTTGTTTTGCTAGAAAATTTGGTGGTAATCAAATGTTTGCATTGAAATAAACCTTGAAGAAAATAAAACGTATATTATAACTTTTAAATCAAAATTGATGCTAAAAGCAAAAGAGCAAAAAAATACACAAAAATAAAACTTTGAGTAGAAAATTGTGTTAACCACAGCGATTAGTAGTCAGTGTCATATAATACAATTTTCTTTTTCTTTCTTTCAATTTCTGGGTAACATCGTAGGCTGTTATGAATAAATTATTAAGCGTGACTTCTTAAAATTATGGTATAGGAACTTACTGCGCTGCTAACTAATGAACTTTCATCGCTGTGCAGGTTTTAAGTGGAAAATATTTATTGTCAGCGTAGATTGTCTGTGTTTTTCGAATTATAAGATAAAAAATCGTGATTTTAATTTGAAAAGAGCGATCATTTTGGCGTTATAGCAAATAACTTCACGATTATTACTCAGACTAATGTAAATTCTTGTTAATTATAATCATTCAATAATGGCTTTTACGCTATATTCTTGTAAATTGTCTCCATAGAACCATTAGTTATCTTCTAAATTTTCAATCAAATATACTTTGTGCAGAAAGTAGATTGCATTCTCAAATGGAAGGCAAAGAGCTTGGTTAAAGGAAAAACAATGTCGTAACAGTGCACACACATACCAGTATTTAGTGTAATATTACCCTTATGAAAATCTAATCTAAGTCATCCAAAATCTGGTCATTTGGGTCATTGTTTTTATAAGATTGTACATATTAAATATTATTTGAATTACATCAAAACATAATAGGAAACTACTGAAAATGCATGTACATCTGTCAAGGATTAACGTTATATTAAATTCTACATATTTATTAAAATAAGATATTTGGTAGATGAGAAAGCAATCTCATAGAAGTTAGATTTATTTAATATTTAAGATCATTGTAATTTAATCGTGTATAAATATTTATTTTAACTACTAGTGATGAAAAATACGTTAAATAGTAATTCAGTTTAGCCACAAAAGTCGAAACCAGTGGAGTAAATTAACCAGCTATTCATTCATTTTTTTTCTGTGCACGCGTAATTAATTGCCTACTACTAATTGCACAGGAATTTTTGAGTTTTAATAAACATTATTATTATTATTATTATTATTATTATTATGAGATCATGTGCATTATAAAACTAGTATACATGAGAAGTATAATATACATGCAGTCAGAGTGATACACAAATTGTATAACTTGTTGTGATAAATATTAATACATTCAGGCGTTATATGTTACCGTTTTCAATTATTAATGATTAAACCAACAAAACAAAATTCAAGAACTTGACGCTTTTATAAGGTAGACTTTCCTTCTTAGTATACCCTAAAAGAAACAAGTTTTTCAAAGCGTTCATGTTTCAGACAGTATGATTTATTTTTGTTTAATCCTGTGTTTTCTCACTACGATGAAAAATCAGCAGTTGAATATTTTGCATAATTTCTATATTTAAGATATAAAAAAAAACTTCATTATTGTTTAAGAAAAATGCACCACTGATTGATATATTCTAGAATGATTTTTAGGACGATGCTTTACGTGTATGCGTTCATATGACAAAATGATGTGCGAGGATCCACTAAAATAAAAACAGGTATAACCTTTAAAAATAAATTTAAAAAAATAAATAAATGCCCCCCAATGGCACAGCGGCATGTCTGCGGACTTATAACGCTAGAATCCGGGTTTCGATACCCGTGGTGGGCAGAGCACAGATAGCCCATTATGTAGCTTTGTGCTTAATCACAAACAAACAAATCTTAAAATAAATGAAGTTCAAGAATTTAGTTGAATTCAGCTGCCACTGTCAGACGTTCTAATTATGTGAAAACCACGACTTAAATTTTACTCAATTATAATCTCTTTTATCAACACCTTATTTTAATGTTTTATATACTGTTCATTCGCTATATTCTGTCTGAAGCCGCGAAATAGCTAGAAAGTGTTAGAAGTTGTTTTTATTGGGCCTACTTGAAATATGAAATGATAGCCTAACGAAGAAAACGAACTTTCTAAAAATGTTTCATAGTGACTCTGCTGTCCCTACAAGTGCGCATTACACTCCTAGATTTGGGCTGTGCTATCATAAATAACTTGCCTATTTTCAGTAAAATTGACAAAATTTTAGAACCATTTTTACACAGATAGTGCTTGTATCTTCGTATCGTAGTCACACGAAATATAACACTTGAAATTTTAGTGATTTGAAAGAGCATCATTTTTCTCTATTATTCTGACCTAGTTTCAGCATTTCGAATACTGTACATAATTATACAGGTAATCCTGCATTGTCCCATTCATTCTTATATAGGAAAAAGTTATCTGTATCACTGTATAACATATCTTACACAGTATAGTACATACATAAAACTAGTTCTGGTTACGTATCTCAGTAATCTTGTAGCCGAAGAACAAGTTACATATTGTCACGTTATTATTTTAATACAGCATGTCAGTTATTACTGTTACTTATAAAGTTATCGGTTTATTCACGCTTATTTAACATTATATTTTATTAATTCTTTAAATACATGAAAGGTGTTTTGTCAAGTAAATAATATATTCTATGTTAACCTTCGAAGAAAAGTCGCAGATAATGTAGGAGTAACTGATAAATGATAATTACGGTAGAAATTTGATGGCGACATGCACTTTTATCGTCAACAAGAAATATGTAAAATTTAGACAGTCATCGAGAGTGAGTACAGTACCATCTTCCTTCAATATTTAATATGTTTTGAATGAAAATGATCCTGTTTAATTATTACGTGTTCGTTTCGTTTGTAGCAATCATATTTCTTTATACGTTGATTTTCACCGATAAGTACTTTGAATCTTAAATGAATATTTAATTGATTACAAAAACTTGAGTGTTTTGACACAGGTGAAAGCTAGAAAAGTGAAATCCTAAAATGGCGACTGACAACTATTCAAAACATTACTGTATACATTTATAGTTACACCTGACATGCGTCGGTAGCTGTATATTCAGTGAACAATCGCGTGGTGAAGCAGTCTGTTGTACCTCCAGATCTCGGTGAATCGTCAAGCTGCGTCCATACCCTGCAAACAAAGCGGATCAGGCCGTGGTACGGGTAGTGCTGCTGATGTGGGCGACTGCCTGCTATTGATCGCATGTACCTCGCCCTAGTGTAAAGGTCACGCTAGCTCTGACGATTACGTCTATAAACTGTTCCAGGAAAGACAGTCGCTCCTGGTGACAAGCATTGTAATTACAACTGTCGCTGTACCTCCGTGGTAAACAAAATGGCTGCTTTAGTGGTGACATGACTTCCTGAGTGTGTCCTTCTCTCAAGACAAATATAATAAGATAGTAATTTGGTGTTGACAAAGCATTAATAAGCACTTTTGAATAATTTTTAAACCATAATCCAATAATAGCTATTTTTTACCGTCGTTTTTAAGATCCCTCTCGTATTAATAATTTATTCATAATGAATAAAAAAAAAACAGTCAGTTCCTCCTCTTCCTGTTTTCAAGGTTTTTCGTTCAGTTGTGTCACTTTCTTCTCGAGTTTTCATACAGTTACGTTTTGCTCTTGGACGCGAGTGGCAATTAAACTGTTGTTCCAGTATGTTAAATAGCCGCATTTTTAGTTTTAACCAAATCTCTGAATATCCATATGATTTGCTCATATTTATATTATTTAAATTATTATAAGCAGGGTGAAATAAATGAAAAACAACAACTAAAATAACGTCTAAAGTTAATGACTCAAATCGTAAAATGCTTTGCTCCTCGTTCGATGTAAATTATTTTTACACGTGAACATTTTGCTGTGTATATAACTCAAACGAAACCATTGTGTCGAAAATTTAACCTTTGAACTTTTGATTCTGATATCAGTTGCGCAACTAGAGCTCTTGG